CTACGACAATTTCAATCATGAGTACCAAGAGAACCTTCAGTTGAAAGGTTCCGCAACACGCACGCCGACGCGCGACATTCTACCGCTCGCGCACAAAATGCAGTTGTCCAGCCAGACCGACACATACCACAACATAACAGCACCTTCCAGTCTAAGTTGACAACCGAGTCATAACGGTCAGCCGCACGCACACGGCATCCAATCAAGCGGACCCACCACCGCCGAATTGCCCACCACCACCACCATTCTAGCCACCAGATTACATGACATGGGACGAGCTCACTATTGCACAAGCCTTTCAAAGAGCGAGACTCCCCAGCGGGCTACGTATGCCACCAAGCCGCCGACTACCTCTACCGCGCCGATGGGTCTCCGACGACTACGAAGGCGAGCAGGACATATGGAACGCCCAGGTGTAGTACTTCAACTTGCACACTGAGAAAATAATATCGGATGTCCCAGGCAATTTGCTACGAAGCCCGGGATGGAAGCGAACTCCATCTGACGAACACGTGAGGTGTTTCTACGACGGCATTTGAAATTGCTTGCAGTACCGCCCCCCGTCGCTACGCGTGACTGCGTACCACCTCCGCCGCCGCCAGCACCTTCATCTCCGCAGAGGCCGAGATCATCGTCGCCACACGCGCGCTCCTACTACGTCGATGTATCGGCCCTTGGGACGATCGTTAAGAGGTGCTATCGTGAAACTGAGTTCAGGGACGACGTGCTTCCTCGACATCGACGACGTCGCATAGCTCGTCGTTTCAAACAACCCTCAAGGACGCCTACTGACTCCACTGCTCAGCAACCAGCACGACAACCTAACCGCTCGCGAGGGCGTGCTGCGGATCATCGGCCACAGCAGGGGCCAACCACCGACCGAGTAACCACCTTCTCCAAAGGACGAACTGCTGGGCGTCACAGTTACCTGCTCCCATTCAGCAGGGGGCATCGAGCAGCGGCGACGGGGCAGCCGCGTTTATGCGACAGGGCCCGCGCGCCCCCGAGCGGATGGCCACGCAGCCGTCACCTATCGACAGCAGCAGCGCACCAGCTCCCGCGAGAGAGCCACGATGCAAGGCAGTTCCTGCCACATCCCAGCTTTGCTCCAACCAGCTGCACAAAGCTGACCATGGAGGAGGGCATGCGATGGACGAGGCCGAACGAGCGCGAGTGCCATGAGAGCCACCACCAGTTACTCTACCTATATGCATCGGGGCGGTAACTGCACGCGCCGTCGTCAGCGCTCCGACGACTGCGTCGGCCACGCCGGCGGTAGCGGACGTCAAGGCCAAATTCATGCGCGACCTGGACACGGCGTCAGAGATGGCTACCCCTCCGACAGGACACCCGCCGCCAGACGTGCGATCGGGGAACGACGCTCGACGTCAGGCGCCAACGACATCCTGATCGAGCGCATGACCAACAACATCAGCATGGTGCCGCATGGCCGGGATTTGATTGAATTGAAGCTCAATGCCCACATGGTCATCACAGCATTCTTCGTGATCATGGGCAACGCGAGCAACCGCTGCGACTCGGGCATCGGGGCAAACCTGAGGGTCGGCTGTGGGGGGTATCCACGAGGTCCAGGAGAGGCCCAATGTGCCCTCCCCGCCAGCAGGTGTGGGCGCGGACCGCCACCGCCACGCCGTGCGCTGCCGCGTGCGGCCTGCCGCCGCTTCCGCTGCCTGCGAGCTCCTCGCAGACGCCCGTAACCTCCTCCTACCGCCACTTCTCTAGGGCAACGGCGCCCACCAGTAGGAAACACGACAGTCCATGGGCAATTCGATGCATTTTTCGAACGTTTTTGCCAGCGGTGGGACCATTAGTTCGCCAGCTCTCCTCGTAGTCATTTCCAACCATTAGTGTGTCCCCTCCCCGCCGCCACATGCGGCCAGCCTCGGCAACCACGGCATTGGCCAAGGCCGCCGCGGCCAGCAACCGCGGTCACCGCCCGCAGGCATGCACTGTCAGCTCACAGGAGCACCGCAGCCAACGCATAGCACGTCGACAGAGGGGGATCCTGGGCACCTTCCATGGCGGTGGCCCAAGCGGGCCGCGCGACCCGAAGGAGGAGGGGCCCGTGCGCGGGCCCTGGGGCCTTCGTCCGTTTCAACCGCTGCCGCCGCAACTCCAGCCTCGCTCACCATTCCCATGTTTTCGTTGCGATTGTGATGCTGATGGATGTTTGTCCTCTCCTTTCTCCCCTCCCCTCCTGTCTGTTGCACCGTTGCGCCATAATGTTGTTTTGGCTTTGTCACCCCCCCCAGGGCCGACCAGCCCTGGGGGGTAGATGCCGCGGTCGTGGATCCCTCGTGCCATCAGGAAGCAGGAAACAAGCGGAGGGGGAGGACGAGAGGGGGAAGGAGCAGTCCGCGGTACTTTCAGGACGGAGCCTGCGTCACGGGTCATGGGGCAGTCTGAGCGCCGCGGCGACCCGCGCAGGCTACGCAGTGGCCCTGCAGGATCCGACGGGAGCGATTTGCGGCTCTCCCAGGACCGGGCAGACGCCCGTCGAGTCAACCTCCTCCCCTCTGTTCCTTTCGGTTCGCATCCGAAGGGCGGCGAGTGTGACGATCATCGCGAGCTGGCCGTTTCCCGTGAGACACTCAGAACTACGGGGCCTACATTTGCACAGGCCCGCGCGTAGCGCCGTCTTTCCGCTCTGGCCCGGCAGGCCCGGCCCGCAGAGGGGGAGAACACTTTTTTTTTCTCCTGGTATCTCTCAGCAAAAGGTGTTTTCCGATTCTGAGACGGGTCCTTCAAATCCGAAGGTCTGTCTGATGGTGGTCCGCACGCCCATAGACCTAGAAGCTTGGTCAGTGGCTCTCCTACTCCTCCTCCCCCCCTCCCTCTCCCTCTCCCCGTCCTCCTCCTCCTCGTCCTCGTCTCCTCCTCCTGCTGTTCCCTCCCTTGACCCCGAATCGTCCATGCGTCGCCGTTGAACGAGGGCCAGATGGCCCTCCTCCCCTTTCATCCTTTTCGTCCAATGGTCCTCCACCCTATTTTCTTCACCCCCTTCGCCTGCTCTCCTCCTCCACCTTCCTCTTGGGGGTCGAGGTGGAGGTGGAGGGGGGAGAGGCGGAACTTGGCATGAGGATGAGCTGGGGATATCATGCGAACACACGCTGCACATCGGTATTTCAAATATGATCATGATGAACAAGGGGGCGGATCGGTGTGTGTGTGTGTGTGTGTGTGTGTGTGTGTGCGCGTGCATGCGTGCGTGCGTGCGTGCGTGCGTGCGTGCGTGCGTGCGTGCGTGCGTGTGTGTATATGTACGCATGTATGTAAGTAATTATATACGTATGTCTGTATGCATGTATGTATGTATATATGTATGCATGCATGCATGCATGCATGCATGCATGTATGTATGTATGTATGTATGTATGTATGTATGTATGTATGTATGTATATATGCATGTATGTATGTATGCATGTATGTATGTATGAATGTATGTATGCATGCATGCATGTATGTATGTAATGTATGTAATGTATGTATGTATGTATGTATGTATGTATGCATGCATGCATGTCTGTCTGTCTGTCTGTCTGTCTGTATGTATGTATGTATGTATGTATGTATGTATGTATGTATGTATGTATGTATGTGTGGATGTGTGTATGTATGTACGTACGTATGCATGTATCTATGTACGTATATGTGTATGTGTGTATGTGTGTACATGTATGTATGCATGTATGCATGCATGCATTTATTCATGTGTGCATGCATGCATGCATGCATGCATGCATGGATGTATGGATGTATGGATGTATGGATGCATGGATGTATGGATGTATGGATGTATGGATGTATGGACGTATGGATGTATGGATGTATTGATGTATGGATGATTTGATGTATGTATGTATGTATGTATGTATGTATGTATGTATGTATGTATGTATGGATGTATGTATGTATGTATGTATGCATGCATGCATGCATGCATGCATGCATGTATGTATGTATGTATGTATGTATGTATGTATGTATGTATGTATGTATGCATGTTGGAGTCAGCACCGCCCCGACGGTAGGAGGTAGGAGCGGGCCTATCGCGGCGCCGGTGATTCCACAGCCTTTTCAGGTGCGAGCCAGGCTCACTGCCTTGCCCGCTGCGCGCGCGCGGGGCGCGGGCGCGGGGGGCCCACGCCAGCTGTGGCCCCTAGGCAATCTCGCCTGGGAGCCCAAATACCTACCGGCCTCCTGAGCCGAGCTATCCCGGTTACCGGCCCGTGGGCCGAGATTCGTGGGGCGGCCCGCACTCCCGCTGAGCCCGTGGCTGCTCTGCGGGATGCCGCCCCCAGTCGGGCCATGGTTCGACGCCGTGGCCGACCCAGACTTCTTCGATCACTTCGAGCTCCGCTCCGGCCAGATCGTGGAGGTCCAGTGCTCGGACGACGCGGGCGACGAGCAGGGCACGATGCTGCTCGCGGTGACTGGCACGGCTACCGCCTCGGCGAGGGGTCGATGGCTCGAGGCCGTGTACATTGCCGCGAGCGACGAGTACTACGACTGGTACATGCGGGAGTCGGCGGACAAGCCGCCCAGCCCAGCCTGGTACCACCTCTGCCGAGGTGAGGCGGCCACCTGCCAGAGCGTCAAGGCTGGTGCCGATTACGCTCTGCATTTCGCCCGTGTCAGGGCGGTCCCCAGGGCGGCGCTGGCCACGGGTGCGATCGGTTGGGCTGGTAGGGGTGTTGCCGCCGAGCGTGTGGAGGAGTACCTCGGCAACCTTGATGGGGGGCGCCGGGAGGCTTACCCGCCTGGGGGAGTCCCCGCAGGCGGAGACCGCGGCGAGTTCTTCGACGGAGAGCTTGTCGAGCAGCCGCGGCAGCAGCGGCAGCCAGAGGGATCTCCCTCCCGCGGTGCGGCTGCGGCAGCTCCTGTCGCAGACCAGCTTGCGAATCTACGTCGTGACCTTGCTGATGAGCCTCGCGGGAGGAGGCGCGAACGCTCGGGTCACCCTCGGAGGGGCCGAGGTGGCCCTAGCAGGCCTGGCCTGTTCGGGGGGACTGCCCGGTCCCCGAGGCGCGGTGGTCGTGCTGCCGGGGGCCGCTCTGCTGGAGGTGGGGACGCTGACCAAGCTGGAGGTGCGTCGGCGCCGCCGCTTGGGGATGCGCCCGAGGGTCGGCGCGCCCGTTCCCCTACCCCCCGGCACGCTCGCGACCGCGACCGCGACCGCGACCGCTCCCGCAGCCGAGGGGGCCGCGAACGTCGTCGCCGTCGAGGCGGCGACCGGGGCCCCTACGGTGCTGGCCCGTTGGCGACGTTCTCCTCTTCGGAGTCGCGCTCACGTTCGAGGCGGAGTCGTCGTTCACGCTCAGGGTCGAGGCCGGGTTTTCGCGAGGCCCCCTCCTCCGCCAACGGGAGCAAGCAGCTCCAGTTGGTGTCCTATTCCCAGCGTCATCCAGGACGGCTGGCCGCGCGGCTCCTGCTCAAGATGGCAGCCGGCGTCAGCAGGGAGGGGGGGGCCGTGTACGCCCAGCTGGGCAGCCCGGGCGATCTGAATCAGACGCCTCCGGCAGCGACATCGTACTTCTTGACGGTGATGGTTCCGACCCTGGCCACGCGCATGGCGCTTCGCGACAGGAGGGAGTTGCGGACGCTGTCCCTCATCCTGGACCTCCTGGCGACGCAGAGGCCCGAGGAGGCCGCCGACGTTGTGGCCCAGAGGATCAAGGCGATCGACAAGGCGCTGCACGACGGCGCTTGGACGCACGCGCAGCTCCTCGAGCTCATACCCGAGGAAGGGGCTCCCCTCCTGGAGCGCGACGAGGCCGTCGCCGTCGCGAGGGAGGCGCGGACCAACCAGGAGATCGTGGGCGTGCAGCCGTGGCGCCGGGGCCACGACGAGAACGCAGCCTCCCAGAAGGGGAAGAAGGGTGGCGGCAAGACCAAGAGCGGAAAGGGCGGCAAAGGGAAGCCTCCCGACGGCGGCTGACCGCTGCCCCTCGGGAGGCGCCTTGGCGCCGCTCCCCGTCCACAGCAGTCGCCAGACCGCCCCGCTCACGGGTTGGATCCCGCGATGCGCGGTCCCCCAGCGGCGGAGCGTGCAGGGGGCGCGAGGCTGCCGTTTTGAAGCCTGCGGGAAGCCCCTCGCTGGGTGGACGCCGGCGTGTCGTGCGACTCTGCGACGCGCGGGCGCCGTCAGAGGAGCCGGCGGCTTCCTTCGAGCCTACGTCGGGCTCAGAGCCGCGTGGGGGCCTGGAGTCGCCAGAACGCCCGATGCTTGCTTTTTACCGGGAGGGCTCGCTCCCGAGACTTTCGCCGCCGCCGCGCAAGGGCCACGTGACCAGGGAGAGCTGGCGGGCAGACCTCGAGGTGGCCCTCGCCTCTCGGCCAGGGCTCTTCGATGCCTTCATCTGGCTGGATGCGCACTGGGACGAGCTCGCGACTCCCTTGGGCGACCTGCCACGTTCATTAGGGCGCGCTGCGCCACCCTCTGCCCGAGGGTCTCGCGGAGCCTCCCGAGACATCCTGCCGATTGCGGTTGAGGCCGTCCGGGAGCTCTCTGCCGAGAAGGTCTTGGGCCATGGGCTCGAGGAGGCATCCCTAGGGCGATGGAGCGGCGGCCTCCGCCAGTGGGTCTGCTGTATTTTGTCCGCCCTCAACTTCCATTATCTCGGAGCGGGCGCTGAGCCACCTCGGAAGGGCCCGGCACTGAGGCTGTCGCAGCCTCAATTCAGGCTGGTCCGGCATGTTGCGATGGCTGTCGTCGCATTCGTGTCCAGCCAGCCCGACGCCGCTGGGCAGGCACCGTCGCTGAAGGCCCTCAGGAAGAAGCTCACGACGCTTCCAGTGGACTACGGGGCCTCGGGCCTGGTTGTCAAGATGGGGGCGCTCACGCCAAGGAGGGTCATCCCAGCATGGCCGGCAGTGGGGTCCGCGGCAATCCAGCCCGTTACCAAGTTCCTCGAGGGCGAGGTGCTTGAGAAGGTCATGGATCCCAGCTCGAACCTCCTGGACCGGGCCTTTTGGCCCGCGGCAACTAGGAAGAGTTACGTCCGTGCTTCTGACGGGGCCTGGGCTGACTTGGTGGCCGCGGCATTCCAAAGGGGCATGATGAAACCAGTGAGGGAGGAGGATGTGTTCCGCGGCGTCGACGGCCAGCCCGTGTACAACGGGGCCGGCGGCGTCGAGAAGATCAAGTACAAGGACGGAGTGCGATAGGAATTCCTCCGCTTCATCAGCATCTTTTGCCCCATCAGCGACTACCTGACCCGCATCACGGGGGGCGACGACAAGTTGCCGTACGTCGGGCAGGTCACCCTCCTTCATTTGGAGGAGGGAGAAGAGGTTCTCATCGACTCCGAGGACTTCGAGAGCTGCTTCAACCTTTTCACTCTGCCCGACTCGTGGCTCGGGTACTTCAGCTACGAGAAAGTTGTACCTGGCAGCGCTATGGGCCTGCCAGAGAAAGAGTGGGTGCGCCCCGCCTTGTGCGTCGTGCCCATGGGTCGGAACAGTGCCGTCGCCATCGT